GTCGTCCACCGCCGCGTCCGCAGCGTCCGCCCGCGCCGCGTCCCGCCCTCCAGCGCCGCACGCTCTAGCCGCACCCCGTGCGTCGCACCGCTCGCTCCACCGCCCGCCCCGCCGCCCGTCCCGCCGCGCGCGGGGGGCCCCGACGACGCGCAAACGTGCGCCCGCTGCGGGAGATGTGTGCGCGCGTGCGTGAGCGTGCGCGTCCCACAGAGAAACCTGCGCCTCAGCCCGCAACGATCTTGTCCATGTAGCGCCACGGCCGACGCGAAACAGGGCCTTGCTCTTTCCATTTTGGCCCGTCTGTTCGCACGAGCCTTGGCCCGAGTTCGGTAGGGATGAGGCGGGCGCTTCCGTTGACGGCTTCGGAAACGGAGACGACGATGGCGGAACTGAGTTGATCTGATCTCACCTCGCCTCACGCCGTCGAAGAGCTCGACCTCGCCGCTTGCTCCTCATCACATCAGTTTTCTGGCTGCCTAACACAAAGTGGCGCCTCTTTTCCCAAACTTTCACTTTTTTTTGGCCAAATGCACCTTGTACACGTTTCCATGTTCTACCGAACCACTCAATACGTGTACACGCTCGTCTAAAGGACCCTCAGGTGAACGCCAGCCTCGTCTTGTGAACGCCTCTTCTTGTAAACGCTTCTTCCTGTGAACGCTAGCATTTTTCTCGTCAACTCATCTATCTTTCGACATGCGTTGGGACAACCAATCTATACTTGCTGCGCATATACAGTACCGTAGTGCATGGAATATCCGCATTGATATCTTTTCTGCAACCCGTACGCTCTTCAACTCTTTACCTCCAGATATGCCACAGGCAGCATCGAAGAGAGAGTGTGATTTTTTTTGATTGTCAACATTCACTGCCTGCCATGTCCCACCGTACACTCATCACTGCCCGTGCGTTGTCTGTTGTCCTATGTCAATTGCTTCCCTGAAAAAAGAAAAAAAAAGAAGAAGAGATAGAGTCAGTATGACTTCACACCGTTTCTGTTTCTTCACGCTCAATCCATTAAGCGGAAGCATTTGTCTAACGAAAGGATGTACATGTGTACGGGATGCTGGATAAGGCCAATGTTCACTGCCAGCAACCACACTGTACTCCACCTTCCATAGCAACAGATTCTCCGTCTGAAGAGCACGAAAGCTATTTCGGTCAACCTGCACATCAACGGTATAAATGCTTGGCTTTCTCTTTCAAAGTGGAACACTCTCAGTCTTTTGTTGACGTCCTATCGCTTTACTTGCTGCCTTTCTATTTCTCCTTTGATCGCAACGCACCCAGTGGGAAAATTTGTAAAATGCCAACATGATGGTCAGCTCTCAGGTCTGTAGTCCAAGTTGTACCGCAAAGGTTTTCTCTGCAGTCTTTTTTGCTGCACAGCGTTGCAGCAAACTTTTTGACACCGAAATTGCTAGTGCACCGAAAGGCTGTAGCTGTGTGACTCCGTGCGACACTCCCTTCCCGTGGCCATGAAGGTTACAGGCACATCGTGTAGGCACCTCTCCTGGACACAGCAATTCAACTTGTGTTGGCCTGTACATTCGTGGAGGCGAAATAATGCATAAGGAAGGCACGTTTGATCTAGACCTGCCTGACGCTGCTGCATGTCAACAATTAGAGCGACGTCACGAGACTTCAACACGAGCAGCAGGGTTTCGCACGGTTTCCGGTCTTTGCTGTCAGCAACCCTTCGAGTGCTTTTTGCCGGTTGAACCTACGGCGTCTGGATGTTTCTTCGGCTCTTGAAGCGCGGTATATGTAGTACCCAAATTCTTCGATTTCCGCAGGGTACTCTACACTGCGGAAATCGAAGAACAGGCACCCACGCTGCGTTAGTCTCATTTTCACATGCGTTGCTGGACACACTGAGTCCTTTGAACAATCGCAGTGTAATCCTAAAGGTCGTATCCTGTGCTGTTTCATTCAAACACAATGTATCGGCATCAAATTTTCTATTCCCTGTCGTCCACTCTCTACAAGACATGCCGCCACAAGTTGGGAAAAAATCTAGGGCATATTCCATTTCGACAATGACCTCAAAGAAGGAGAGGTTTAACAATTTCTTGTGTATGTTTTGTATGATCTTGTCCAAAGCTGGAACCCACGGACCGTTGGTGAGGTCGACACACTCCATCACGCGATCCGAAAAGACCTCCGCCCCCGGACACTCATCCTACCTAACGCCTGCTTCTAATCCCGCAACCCGCTCCGAAGCTGTCCCATACTCCCCGGTGTGAATGATCTCGACTGGTAATTGTTGTGGGAGACGGGCCGTCTCCCTCGACACCCTTGGCGCACCATGCCTTCGCACGCTCAGTGCCATCGATGACCACGCGCGCACGATCCCATCCTGCAGCCCTTGGGCAAAGGCAACAGTGAAGGTTTGCATCCAGTGAAGTCTCGCTTTTGAATTTTAACGCAACGTAGCAGTCGCGAGCAGCTATCCTCGCGTGCATGCCCTCCCGTCATACATGCCTATCTTGCCACCCAAAGTGTAATCGTCGTAGCCTGGGCGTGTGACAGGTCGGGTCTTGTCACAAATCGATTCGAATAAAGGGTACAGTACTGATTTTATCCATACCAGGAGATTGCTCAAGGGTATCATCCTCGTTCATTGTTGGCATCATGAATATCACGGATGCAGTTGCATGGATGACTTGCGCTGTGTTTATTTGTCCACAGCTTGCTCCACGATATCATTGCACGAAACTGTTGGTGTATCAGATTTTATCGGCGAGAGTCCAATTACAGGCAACAGCTCATGGATAAGATAGAAGATTGGGAATACTGCACTCGATTTGCCCTCATAAACACCATTAACAGCTTTCCAAAAATGGGTTTCCACCATGTTACTCTGCACAAAAAGAGCATTGCGATGTCTTTATAAAATATAACTTTCATAATTTAATATCAATTAAACAGGATATGCTGTTGAACACTAATACGTCTCTCCTAATTTGTATGGCTTAAAAAGCATCATGAAGATCATCAGTGCATCCTTCGGCGTTTGAAGGCTCGAGATGTTTTTCGAAACCAGTCGAATTTTCTAGTCCAGACACGCTTCATACAAAGGTATCAGAATCGCTATTAGAAACAGAAGCACATATGCAGAATTCTGTGCCTTGTTATCGTCATGCACACGAATGCAAGTTTTTGCTTCACAAATATCTCTGGTTAGGTTTAGTAAACCCTCAGAAAATGGATGGTGGGTCATGGGGTGGAATACCTCGTGATGATTTGCGGTCAACATAAATGGCGCAGGAACTGTCTAGGGCATTTGGTCTTGTTGTACTGCTTCGTTAAGAAGTGGCCAGCAATATGCCTGTAAACATGCAAGTGAACACAGAAAATCCGCTTCCCAGATAGTACTGTCATCGAGATTGGTACCTTTGATGTTCGAAGCCCGAAATAGTCCATCGCAAAGCATCAACTCCCCTCTCCATGATCGACGGTTTTGCGAATTTGCAAGTTGAAGGTTATGTCTGCACTCAAAATTCGGAATGGAATGAGGAATTTTGTTTGCTATGGAAGCAAACCCCGAACAAATTCACTCATTGAGTCACAGTATTGTCAAGAATCTACATCTACATACATGCTTTAAATGAAAGAGCCGAACAACGGAGATTTTTTTTTTTTGTCATTTAGACCTGCCAATCACTCCAGCGCGAAGAATGTGACACCCAGCACTCTCGTGCAATGTCAGAGAAAATGGCACCTGAGTTTGTGAAGCGAACGGGTTTTGTTGACTTCCTCTAGAGTATAAATGATCATGAAGCAGTCCCCCAGAAGCAAGACATCCCAGTGCTGCCATCTTGCTCCTACGATCTTGCTCCTACGATCTGAAACCAAGTGCGTCCAAGGAATTTACAAACAATCATGAGAACTTCGGCTGTGACTTTCATTGCTCTTTTCTGTGCGGCGCTCTTTGCTACTGCCGCAGGCCGCATTTCGCCATGCTACTATGCTTTCAGGCGGTGTCACTTCCGCTTCGCAGGAGCTAAAAGCCTTCAAACGTTCAACATAAATGTACCCGCCGACCAAGCTTTTACACCGCGAATCACGTACAAAAGGGGCGGGAAAACTCTGGGAGTTGTGAACATGAACTCGATCACACCGGAGTTTATCCTGAATTTCCGGCCGGGGGGTGTGCCAATCACTCAATTTGGGAAGCCAAGGTTTTCTAGTACGGCGTTCAAGCCGTTCCCGATCGCAGGCACACCGTTTTCCGGTGTCGGACATGAGCAGTTCCAAGGGAACCAGAAGTTTGTTGCTCGGGCGAAATGCGTTCGTGTGTTTTTCACAGAGTTCCAACTTCTTGAAAGGGACAGTAGCGGAAGGCTGGTTGTTGTAGAAAACAGGAACAACGTGTCCAGGAGGGAGAGGAAGTGTGTGGTTTTCCGTACGGGGTACTACTAAGTTGGGGAGTGAGGATGGGTGCCAGACTGCCAACGAAGACGAAGGATTTGGTGTGACGGAGAGAAATTTGAATGGCGTTCTGGAGTGGTGCTTTTAGTTTGAAGACGGCATGAGAACAATGTTTCGTTGTTCCCTCTGCGGTTTGGTGTAGCGACGGCGTAGTTTTCCCCTATACTCTGGTAGACGGCAAATAGTTGCAAGCGTTTCTTTCCTTCGAAGATGTTGTCAAGATAAAAAGGATGCCTGAAGCGCGTGATCATGTTTGTCCTAGTGTCTAGGTGACAAATGACCTCATATGAGGTCACTTTTCAACTTATTTTTCTCGACTTGTGCTAGCTCAACAAGATGGAAAAAAGATACTCTCGACACGGCAGTTGACTTCTGCGTTGTGGAAGGGTGGAGTTTGGTGAGATATGCACGTCTTCTCCAGCCATTTTTAAAATGCCCAAAAAGGAGCCTTTTTGACCAACCTCAAAACGTTTTATGTTGATATCTTCGAAACCAAAACGCCTGTTTAAAAAGTCAACTCATCATTGATACTTCATTAGATTCTTAGTCTCTCTGTGCATTGACAACCGCCATCCCAATGTTTTGCAATATGTTATTGCCGAGCGCGTATACGTTAAAGAAATGGTGTCCAAACTGAATGTTTTAAAGTTTCGATTTAATTTATATATTTTTGCAAAAAAAAAGCTGGCCTCATATGAGGTCAAATTGCTTGTCGTCTAGACACTAGACCTTACGGCTCGATTCAGTGCAGTACAGACTGTGGCGGCAAAGGGTTTGAGGTTTATTAGTTGGTTGCTTAGAAATGTGACAATACTGTATATATATGAAAAAGGAGGTTCCGGACGGTAGTGTGATGGAGGGGCATTGATAAGAGATGGTGTTCGACAATGGATTTGAGGATACAGTGGATAGTGTGGGGGGATACCGTACAGTGGTGGGAATTGAGCATGCGCGGCGTGCGTATGCATGCTCGTAGGCGTCGGGGGTTCGAAAGAGAAGGAGAAGATTGTTGGTACGAAAGCAATGTGCAGGTGAGGTAGAGCGGGACTGGGTCAATACCTTTTGATGTACCGTATGTACAGTAAGACGGCAAGGGATGGGGTGAAGCGTAGATGTGGCGGTGAGAATTGGAAGCGGAAGCGGTTGGATGAGGTGAGGAAAGGGATGGTTGGGAGTGGGTGAGGGGGGATATTTGAGTGTGTGTGGGGAGAAGACGATGTCTCCTGATACAGTACAGTATGAACAAGGGTTGTTGTGCAGATGGGCAACAAGATGGGCAACAAGTGATTCGCGGAGACGGATGCAGCGGTGTTACGTAACGAGATGATGAATGTGTAGGATTTGATGTAGGGCTTGATGGTTGTTGAAGTTGAAGGGGGAAAGAAGACAAGGGATTTATATGAGATGTTGAGATTTAAAGTGGACTCTTCAGTTTGATAAAGATGTACAGTACAGTATATGAAGGGTTGTTGATTCCGTTTTGTCGTTACGTTATGGTTGTACAACTGACGACTTTGCACGGAAGATAGTGAGACAGGAGAGGGGAATATGTTTCAAGTGTTTGTTTCAAGCGGCATTTCACGTGATGACGTCACCTACCGCTGAGAGACGCTATGCGCTGCGCTGAGGGTGGATAAAGTTTTACTGTACTGTCGTGAATACTGTTGCGAATACTGTACTGTTGCGAATACTGTACTGTCGCGAATACTGTCGTGAATACTGTCGTGAACACTGTCGTGAACACAGTACCCTTGAAGG